GGAGCAGGAGGCAGAGCTGGACCCCAAGGTTGAGGGGCTTTCACCCAGCCCCTAGAGCTTGGCACTTTGAACTTGGACTTAAAGCCTCCAAATTATTAGACTAAACTCCTGTTTGTTAAGGCCATCCCATTCATGGTATATTCTTGTCAGAGAGGCACTAGGGAACCAGAACACCCAGACAGGCTTAGACAGATAAGTAGACAGATCAATAGATATTTATCTCAAGGAAATGGTTCATGCCATTGGAGAAGGGTGCAAGTGACAAGCCCATGGGTCACTCATCAGGCTGGTGACCTCTCCTGACTGATGAACCCAAGACCAGCAAGGAAGACAACAGGCTGCTGGCTCACACACTGTGAAGGCAACAATCCCAAAATCAGCACTATGGCAGCTACTGGCTCAAGTCCAAAGAACCAAAGGTCAGAGGATGAGGAGCAGATGCAGGACCCTGATGGAACAACAAGCAGAAAGCCAGAGAGCTTTGCCAGACATTATATACATGGGAAGCAGGCCACGCCCCAGAGGAAACTCCCTTCCACTGATTGGCTGACAGCCTACATCATAACTGCCAAACCACTGAGAATCACAGCCCAGCCACACTGACACATAACCTTAACCATCAGAGAGCCCCAAGGGGAAGTTGTGGGGCAATGAGGTGTGTAGACATGTCTACTGCTTGCGTTAAAGAAGGGGGTGGTGCCTGAAAGACATTTGTATGAGCCAGGGCCGACTCTGAAAGAGCTGGTCAACGGGAATAGCAAATGCCAGTCATGTTGGGGGACACTCGTAGGTGGAGGCTGTGCCTGATTGGGGTCCCTGGACACTAGGAACTCTAGTTGGGTCAGGACACTGGTAGGTGTGAGCTGTTCCTGGCTGGGATTTCACTCATCTAAAGCAGGGCTAGGAGCTCTGGTAGCATAGTGCCTAAGGCACTTGACTGCTAACCAGAAGGCTGGCGGTTCAAACCCACCAGCCATTCCTCAGAAGGAAGGTTGGGCAATCTTACTTCTGTAGTGATACTGCCTCAGAAACCCAAGGAGGGGTTGCTATGAGTCGGGGCTGACTCGACGGCATACAACACCAACACAACAAAGCAGGGCTGGTGAACTTCGATCCCTGGGCCAAAGCTGGCCAACTGCCTGTTTTTGTTTTTGTTTTTTAATAATATTTTACTGTATTTTCGGTGAAGATTTCCACAGCAGTTTATAGTCCCATTAGACAATTTGTACACAAATTGTTCAGTGACAGTGTTCTCATAATTTCTGCTCTGGTTGTTTCATTTTCATTATTCTAGTCTCCCCTCCACCTCTTACTGTCTTAGCTGTGTTCTAAAGTAACCCACTGTGTGGTTTTGCACAGCCAGCCACTAAGAATGCTCTTCACAGCAGTCAGTGGTTGGAAACAGTTCCAAAGAGTAGTATTTTGTGATGCATGAGGTAACAAATCCTAACCAAACCCTCTGCTGTGGTGTCGAAACCACACCCACTGCCTGGAGTCCATTCTGACCCACAGCGCCCCTAGAGGACAGAGTGGAACTGCCCACAGGGTTTCCAAGGCTGTCA